TTTACCAGTCTCCAAGTTCCTCTCGGGGGACAATGGCCTACCATGGACTTTTATAAGCTATAAAACTGTTCTACGCAATTATAGACCAACACTTCTTGAAACAAACTTTTCTATGAGTTAAAGATAATGAATAAAGAAATTATTTAAGCAACTTAAAATAAAATGAACCGATAAAATTAAAAATTTACCCTATACCGAAATACGTAATATAGAATTTTAAACCAAAATATAAAAGTGCGATAAAAATTCAAAAAATATTCAAATACAATTTCTTGCCAAACATATCAAATTTGCTTAACCCTTAATTTATTCTAATATCATAATTTTGTAATTTCGTTATGATATTGGGTTCAAAATCAAAGACGATTTTTATTAATATATGAAATAAAAATAATTAACATAAAAACTCAATGACAGAATGGACAATTTTATTATTATTATTGTTATCAACTATATTATTTGTATTTAACCGTTTTATTGTTTGGGCTGACTAATCATTTTAAATTTGTGCAAATATTATTATAGGACGTACTTTGGTTGCAAAACAAACTGCCGAATGTGAAAGACGTTTACTACATCGACAGCATAAAGTTCGGCCATCTGAGTTTCGTGATGCATGAAAACATCGATCGGCTTATAAATAATCAAATAAAAAATGCACTGTCGACAACAAATGCATTCAATTCGTAAAATAGTATTAAAATTATTTGTATAGAATTGTCATTAACTATTGTTGATTTTGCTACGTTTTAATACGATGCTGTGTAGTGTGTACAATGCACGAATAATACATAATAATGAATATTGATAATTGTATTTATATTGTGAAACTCAAAAATTCATTTTACTTTTATATGAACACGTTACATGTAAAATATATAATAATGTATATTCTTATTGCTATTATTATGTTTAAATAATTATTAATTGATACAAAAAATTACGATCTACCTGATTGTATTTTTTCCGAATTAGTATCTATATAAAAATAATTAGGTACCTATTATATTAGTTCATGCAAATAAACTTATTAAGTAATCAATCAATGAGTAGAAGGTTAAAATAGTGAATAAAATCATTTGTATACATTCATTATACGCATCATAATCGATTTCGAAAAACATAATTTATGAATAATTATGTTCGATTAAACTGATCACAGTGGTACATTATGAATTTATGTGGAGAGGGCGGGAAATGATGAGCTATTTCAGTCAGTCGCAGACGTGACCTTTCCGCACGAGCCACACGTCACAGGTACTGTCTTTTGTCACGCTTCCGCGTCCATCGGTCATGGAAAAGTAAATGTATATAGGGACCTACGCAACAACCAGACTTCCAATTATGCGAAAACAATTTCATGAAGGAAAAATGTTTAAGCGTCATGCAAGGAGGTTATAATATGAATATAATATGTTACATGTTTATACATGTTTATTTAATAAACATTGGCCATTAGCGTGTTCCTTAGCCATGGTTACATTTTAGACATTGTCTATGTATGTAACCAAAAGTCAATGTTTTGTAAGGACCGTGGTTAGATTTTAGCACGGACTATTAATAGTCCGTGGATTTCAGTGTCTGGTTGTGTAGGAGATACGCTTAGCATTTTTGGGGATTTCCAGTTTATCGTCCGGCACTCTTCGCGATTTCCATTTATCACCCGGCCGTATGGGGATTTCTACTCATTCCAACGCTTTAACCGTCGTCAAAAACTAAACTTTCGGCGCAGGCGTGACAACAAAATATTTTTAAATGTGTACACATTTTACCTGTTTTTTGTACCTATTTGTTTAAATTTTTAAGAACAGTCAATGTTTTGTTTGATAAACGTAATGATATTTTATTATAACTGCTTAAATTTATTTTAACCATATGTACGGTAATAATATTACCCTATATTGTTTTAACGACGTCGTATTACACAATACTGACAATAGTGTACTACTGTAGTTTGTAGAACAAAAAAATAATGTATGATAATTAAACTAACTTATATTCATAATTAAACATTAAATATTAAAATTATAATAGTAGTATCTGTGTAGGTACTTAGATTTTGTGCCGTTGAACTTTTACAATCAAACAAAGTCAAACTTAAAATGTCACAAATTGTAAGCATCAAAATATAAAACCATAGAACAATGTATGTACATGCTTACTGCTTAGGCATAGGTGTTCATACAATTCGGTAACACCCATACAAAAATCTATGATGTATGTATATCATTGTACGATTGTGAATGATGATCGATTTACAGAGAAATTATGAAATAATTGTTGAAACCTAAAACAATTATACCTAAATTAATTGTTCGTCATTTTCAGTAATCATATATAGACAACACAATCTGTCTGATTTATAAAATTCAATTCAATCCTACTTACAAATTTTAGTACATTTCTACTGAATTTGCTGTGGGAAAAAACCACATCATTGTGAGCCAACGTTGGTCGTTGGGTCTCACGCACATCGCGCCAAATATAAAATAAATCAATATACGAACTCTGTTCATACCCATTTGTCCATTTAGAAGGGAAAAATGGAGTCATCGAGGAGTATTAAAAAGTAATGGAAATTTATTTTATGAATTTACCGATGGATGGTTGTGCCACGGTCGTTGCCCCCTCCCTATTTGGCATGTCGTGGGAGGAGGGATAAGGCTATCAGCTCATATTATTATATTTATTCTCACGTGGCAAAGATAAAAGTAGTAGCGAAGTGATCGCTTCGGTGCCGAATTTACCAATATCTACTCTCATTTTCATTCCGGAAATTGTTAATTTCCTTATAATGACGACGTATGTACATCACCTCTCAGGCTATATAATAACTACAATCCTGCCAAATACTTCAAAACATATTTCACCGACGTCTGACGCCTGCTGCTTGCAGTTACTTGACTTAGCCGTTAGCAGTCTTAAAATAACTACTTTTCCACTAAATAGTGTTTTCCGAATATTGAGACTGAACATAATCTATGGTCTAAACTTAAGCCTCTGATTTGGTAAAATTATTTATAAAGACTTACCTAACACATCTCATCTAAAAAAAATAATAATAGATGTTATCTCAAAATTCTGATAGTTTGAGGGTAAGATTATATAGTATAATATTATGTTTTTTTCAAGTTTATTACTGATGTCTGATGTAGTGATGTCATAAGTTAGAATTTACAAGATGGTTTAAAATAAATGTGACATTTGTGTAGTACATTCATCCAACAATTCATATTTCATGTAAATACAGCTAGATCGTAGAAAGATCCTTTAAAAAGAATTAAAGGTTACCTACCGTAGATCAATTATTTCAACTTAAGATCACCTTAATTACTAAACTAGACACAACAGCAGAGAATGTTAATTGGCATAAATTGAATTTTAAAAAAAAATGTCCATATAATTGTTTATAAATAGTAGTTTTTGTAAAAAAAAATGTCATGTATAATATTATTTTTTATCAATTACACAATTTATCACACTCAACTATTTTTTTACAGATAGGTTAAAATAGGTACCTAATACGGTTTTTTTTAAATCTTGTTATGATAATGCAAATACTTCTGTATTATAGATCTATAACATTAAATGAATAATACATACATGTTTTTTTTATTTCATAATGAGTATCATACAATTTTGAAATTAAGATCTAAATTACAGTAGTATTACCATATACTTTAAGATCGACGTACTATGCTAATTTAATTATGTACTTACAACTTATAGTAGGTACATTAGGATACAAGGATGTACAGGTAAATAAGTCTAATCTATGGAAACAAAACTATCACACAACACGCACTTGTTTCCACAATTATTAGTGTAATTATAAAATATATATTATTAGGTACCTATACCTTCATACGTAAACACCACGGAGGTCTAAAATCTCGACAAGACAAGTGAATATTTTAGAACTAATTTTACATTTTATCCTATAATCTCCACCGCTCGATGATAGTTTTTAATTTTAATGAATGACGGACTTAAAAAATATATTTACAAATAATTTAGGAGCATTATATTTTATCGACAAGTACACTTCCGTATACTGGTCCAGTGGTCCTACAATTACCTAGACATCTACTATAATTAATATATAATTGTAGGTACCTGGTGCAATGCGCATATTATTATACAATATTTTAATGGATGATGGACTTAACAAATATATTTACAAATAATTTTAGAGCATTATATTTTATCTACAAGTATATTTCCGTATATTGATCTTATATTTACTTAGACATCTAGCTACTACTTTAATTAGGTACTGTATGATTGTATGTACAATGCAAATCGTATGAATTTTCGTATGATACTCATCATGTGAATATTAAATAATTAATGTCATTGAGTTAAAAATGTAAGTATTGTTATTGTCAATATTTGTAAATCAATTTCATTTACAAACATTATTAAATAAGTCATAAGACAAGAATGTCTATAATTATATTAAAATTAAAATTAATTTTTAATTAGCTGTTTAAGCTTGAACGCACCTGAGCAATACGTAAAAAAACAAATAATAAAGAAATTTTAATCTCTAAAGGAATAATTTTCAGTTGAAATAATCGTCTGTTATAATTGTTAATACAATCGGTTTTTGTGTATCTAACAACAACCTAATGAATACCTATTTCCAATATACTATATTTATTTTAAACTTATTGATTTAAAAATTTACACAGACACTACAGAATACTATAATTATATAATAATATATGACGAGGGTACAGATATTTCATCATTTAATACCGAATGAGCAAACGATTATGTTTGGTATTATATTTATATACACAATGGTTTATTAACTTTAATAAATTTATTACATGACAATTATTTTAACCATCGTTAAATCAAATACCATTCATTGTCTACCTTGAATTTTCGAGATTGCAGCATATAAAAACTCACCATTTAAGTGATGTGGACATTATTACTGCTGTTGTTTATTTTATTTTATTTTATTTTTGGAGTCTAAGATGAATTGTCATTTGAGCTAAAAATTCTAATGTTCCAATGTTTATTCACTTATTTCAAGTAGAAGTAAATATTTGCATGTAGTTTATTAAATAATAAATTATCAACTCAAAAATGTTCTTATAATAGTTTCATTAAACGATATAATCGACACAAATTTTAGTCATCTGCACTTTCAAAACTGGAATTGTGTATACCGCATCGACAATGCACATACATAAAATATTTTACGTACAAGCTTTTGCTTTTAGTATTTTCATAAGTGTACATTATGTTTCTGCTTTCTCAACCGTAAGTATTATACATTATTTTTTAAAACGTATCTTTAATAATGATAATGATTTATCTCATTAAAATAGGTAATCAGTTTATAATACGCATATGATCACTAATTCAAAAAATGAACCCATTTATTTATTTAAAAAATGTAAAGTAATGAAATTAAAGTTTAAGAATAATATTATGATCGTTTTTATATATGTTTGACAATATTCATAGATATTAAATAAACAGTTTATCATCGTATTTGTTCTCGTACAGTGAACAAATCCATCCGACTACCTACTCTAAAACGTACATAACTACCTACCTGAATATTTAATGGAAAGCGGTTATTCAAATTTTAAAATATTTCCATAAATTAACTCTATTGATAGATAACCTATCTCAAACTATTAAGTAACGTAAAAAAAACATTTTTTTCTTTGAGGTCTGGTAAAAGTGTAAAAAAAAAAAAAGAATATATTTTAACAGTTGTGTAGGATCACCAATAACCATAGAGTTATTGTTTAAAATTTAATTTATATTTGTGAATAAACACTTTGTACAGTAGCATTTATCATACAGTTTGACATAAGCACCTATAAGTCGGAAAAAAATATTGTAACTAAGATATTTAGTAGCTATTCATTTTTTTTTTTATAACATTTTAAAATGTCTACACAATAAAAATGGTGAGCATCCCATGTCATTGAATCACAATTTTTGACTGCACGACAACTAAAAATATGATTAGCATTTCTGTTGTTTTTTATGTATTATTTATGTATATATGTTTTTATTTTTAACTTGAAGTCAGATCAAATAATTAATAATGGATATCCAGTAGAGACGTATGAAGTTGAAACTAAAGACCACTATATGGTGGGCATGGAACGAATACCGTATAGTAAAAATGGGAATAAAACAATTGGCAAACCTATCATTCTATTACACGGCTTGTATGGGACGTCAATGTATTATACACTTAACAATATATCTCTCAGTAAGTATATTTTCATAACATTTTTTATAAAGAATATTTAATTACAACGAGGTAGTATAAGACATATCAACCGAAATACCGTACTATATTATTAATATACCAATTGATTGTATTATTCAGTACCTGTATTGTTAGTAGTTATTGCGCTTGGCATTGTTTTGACATGCTTGAGCATTGTTATATCATCGTCCATCGATATATTATTACAATGTAACTTCTATGCTATTTGCCGTTAATTTATTGATACAAAATTTGATGATGACAAACCTTCACAATCGTTTTGAAATCCTATTGTTAAGAAAATAATATATAATGGCATAATAATATGTAAGTCTACCACCACCTAACCTCTTATCATAGAATACGAATAAGACAAATCAGTAGGTGAATCATTTTAAAATTAATCGAGAATAAGTATTTTTAATAGGTAAGATTCAAAAATATAAATTTATTATTTTAAATGAAATATCATCATAACTATTGATATTATTCTAAAATTGTGTTGGCTGACCAATCATTTCTAATTTATAACAATAATCATTAGGGTGAGATTCCGATTATCATGAGATGAGATAAAATGCCCACGCGCCAACTGCAGGTAGGGAATGATTCCTGGTAAAATCGGGTGGATTTTAAAGAGTAATTAATAATATTACATACATTCATGATGCAGCAAATTGTGTAATACGTACCTATTTAGGTACTTCTGTATGATTTTAAACGTTACGTTGCCGTGCCCTTAGAAAGTTCTAATGTTTTACATTATCCGCTGTCAAAAGTTCATAAATTGAATTTTGTAGGTAAAGTACAAGATGAATATTATGCCAATTATCAACCAATAAGGTTATTGCTTACACAAGCTTAATGCTTATATTGTATAATATATGCACTTATATAGAAGCAAAAATATTGCATATGTAGATAACTATAATACTCTACTGAGTGTATCGACAGGCGTACAGCACATCTGCAGACTGTATACTGCTTTTTTAAATACCTATATAGGTTAGGTTTAATATATATATAGTTTAATATTGAATATTATGATAGCTTGTATAATATATTAAATTATATAAATAAATACATTATTAAGGAATAGCAATGCCGTTGTTTCAACCTTAATATCAATCAATACAAAGAAAAGACAAACTTTACACTAATACACTAGCATACCAATACATCTTACAAATAACAGTATAATGTATACTAATTGTAATGTTTATCGAACAAAGGTTTCATACTATCTGATGCTGGTTTTGACGTTTGGCTTCTCAATTTTCGCCTTGCTGGCATTTCTAAATATATCAAAAACCCAAGAACCGGCCTGGTAACTCCATTGAGAAATATGTCATGGGATTTCAGGTAAGATCAACTGCGTTATTCTTTCTGAAATAATTTACGTGGCATACAGCTTCAAAAGTGTATAATATAAATCTAAAGCAGCGCAGTATATTACATTATAATTCATTTTATGATAGCTCTGTGAGTAATCACATCATGTTTCAATAAAACACATTATCGAGTCTTCAAAAATTGATTATCTGGATAAAAATCTGGAATCTCCTAAGTTAAAAAAAAATGTACAGGGACAAAGAATATTTAAGAAAACACTGAAAATCACTATTAGGTGACATTTTTGATACGACACAATTCATACCCAACAAAAAGTTTTTTATTTATAATCCAGTTCAGTACCTATATATAAGAAAAATTAATAGAATAATTTAATATGTAATTTATTTACTACATACCTACTCGACATAATGATCAAACAAAAATTAATAATTTAATATTCAAGCTTTGACGAATTGGGAATATATGATACAACAGCTGCCATTGATTTTATCATAAATAAAACTGGATATTCTACAATACACATGGGCGGTTATTCTTTCGGAGCTACCATATGCCTGATTGCACTAGCAGAAAGACCAGAATACAACAAAAAAATTGACAAATTAGTTTTGATAGTGCCCACGGCCAGAATGAAGTACTACGACCGAAGGCTTATCATTTTCAAGATATTTCCCTATTTATTCCATGTAAGTACCATTAAGTAATACGTTTTTGGTACAAACAATTTATGTTTTTGTGTTTCCGAAATAAACACACTTCACTGAAGAGTGAAGACGGCTGAAATATTCAAATAATAAAATGTAACTTTTACAAATATTTTATACTTATATACTATGCGTTTATACTTTATAACTGCATATTAATAGAATTCAAAAAGTATTCATATTTTAACATAGTCTGTTATTTATAAATTGTAAGCGACCATTGAGAGGTAGAGGATACATACCTAAGATGAAACATCCAGACGATCAATGGCTAGGACGCCAATGTAAAGATAATAAATACATGAAATATTTATGTCTGTATGTGATGACCCAAGTACAAGGCAATCTTCTACCAATAAATTACGTACGTATCTTATAATTTTTGGAATGTTGATGAAAACAAATAGAGTTGAAACTTGTCACTTAGACTCAAACTATTCTAGATTATACCATATTATTTCTTTCATATATTATACTATAGTCTGTATAGTCTGTGGTTGAGACGTCTAAATCGTATAACCCAAATTATATTTTCCTGTGCCAATTATTTCAACTTAGAATAATATATTTTATTCTAATTTTGTATACCTAATAACTATAGTAGTTAGTAATTACAATTTGAAACCTCCTATAACAGTTTCTTAGGATAAATAAAATGCCCAGGCATAAATGTTAAATCATATATATATATATGTTTTCTAAAAATGTAACGCACCTCATCCATAAATATAATACAATTATTGTTCAATTTAAATATGTATATTTGTTTTTATTAGAATACTATTGAAATCCTGAGAACATATCCTCAGCCAACATCCGTTAAAGTTATGACTCACTATTACCAACTAATACTTCAGGGTAAGCACAGTTAATTATTTTATAGTTAATATAATATAAACAATCGGTTTACTTTCTAACATATTTTACAGTTACATTTATTAAGCTAGTAAGTTTATAATTTATTTTTTCTAAATTATTTATCATCAAAAATATTGAGTAAAATTTAAAATAAAACCATCCACTTTGTGTAGTTATATTTTAATTTAAAGAATTAATATTTAAGTTTACACGATTTGTTTCACTGAAAATGTCAAGTAAAATTATTCTTTTCTGGGTTACGATGAATAACTAAAGAAGATTTTGTTAAAAATATGTTTCCGTAAACATCTACTACTAATACAATTGTAAATTCTTTTCTCTTTTATTCTCAAAAAAATAATGAAAAATTAATAAATGTATATTTCTTATAAAAGTAGTTACCATCCATTTTACATTTATTATCCACTTTCAGTATTTGTAGAGCTGTGGTAACTACATCATATCATTAGTTCTGTGGATAAGTGGTGGTAATCTACAAATACTATTTTCAATTTTGTAGGATATATAAGCGTAAATGATAAATGATAGCAGATACCTATTAATGTCATTACCAAATACATAATATCTTATTTAATTATCATCAACTTTTCAGATTACTTCCGAAAGTATGATTATGGAACAATTGGAAATATGAAGCATTATAATTCTACTACTCCGCCTGATTATGATTTATCTAAAGTGACAGCGGCGACATATGTGTATCAATCAAAACATGATATAATTGCTCCTCCTAAGGTATGAACATTAAAACAATGATTATTTTTAATTATATAATAACTATTAAACGTATATACGCTATAATATAATAGAGAAGGTCTTTTTTTAACAAACATTATCTTTGAATAATTTACACTTACACATGTTCACATTATTGTGCACTCTTCACTTTATCTCATCCATTTGAGGTGACACGAGTTTAGGGAGCGAAGAGCCTTCCTTGTCAAAAATAAATAGTTGTGCATATTCAGATAGTCCCGTATGTGTTTTTAAATAAAACTCTAATACCTCGAATTATTTACTTACCCAATATGAATTTTACATTCTCTGCTCACAGCATATTTTTATAAATGCTATATTATGATTTATGACATTCTAGTCTGTAGTAGCTGACTAACATAATACTATATATTTTCAAAACTATATAATATAAATGTATAATTATATAGATATTATTAACATACATAATTTACTAGTTTAAAAAAAGGTTTATTTGAATTCAAATTTAACACATCTATTACAGTGACCTCTACAGGACAAAATGACAATCACGTAGTCGATGTACAGACATTTACGGTACTGAATGATAGTTCCTCTGGTTTCGTTGTTGAGTTTCAGCCATTTCCGGTCTCTTGAACCCCAACAACAAATATACACGCAAAGAGAATAATTTGGCGAAAATTCGGTGAACCACCGTACTGATTTGTGTATACACGTCTTTTTCACAGTTCAATGACGTTATTGCCATTGACAATGCAATTCACCTGACACAATATAACCATCAGTCACCACCTCAACCCTCTTTCTCTGCCACTGAACATTGGTTTCCAGTTAAAATCGTTTTATGGTTGTTCTTTTTTCTCCTTTTCATTATACAATATGAACATAATTTGTTTGTGTAATAATTGGCAATACTCATTCGATTCATCGTATTATTTACGACCCAGTACAATATTTATCCTATATTTATGAGCCTCAAGAAATTTAAATTTAATTTAAAACAGTCTAGTAGTTTCTGAGATGAGCTATTAAAAAACTCATTTCACGTTTATATATCTATATGGATATAAATTTTAATATTATTAAAATGTTGTGATAGTGTAAAAAAATTGTACACTGTTGAAAATTCTAGT